ACTCCTTGGCCTGTGCATTTTCTGTGATATTCTTCTGAATTCTTTTTGATGACTAAGAAACTTAGGTTCAGAAGTAGGTATGTGTGTTTTAACACAGATGGCAGCAATTTGACAACCTTTAGGTGGCAAACTCTAGTGGCATCCCCAGTCTCCAGGATCATGATCAGAGGGGGCCAGACTGTTGTAAAAGAGAGGTGTAAAAAGCACCTCTGTCTCAAGCTAGCCTTTGGAAAGTTCCTGTTTTCTGACAAGGCTGCAATGTATCCTCTGTACCCCAGTTCTCTTGAATGCTAAGTGAAACCTATTTCAGCAGTATCTTTCTCTGATAATAGAACTCATGCTTCCTCTCCTGCCACCTCTCAGTTGCATCATGCCCAAGACGTGAGGGTACAAAAGGATGCAAACTGATTTCCAAATATGAAACGAGGTAAATAGCTCCACTGGAGGAAGAAAGGTCTCTTAGTGACTAGAAGTCACAAAGGAAAGGGACTCCCTCCCTCAACCTTTACACCATTCCCCTTTGGGGAAGATCACTGCCTCCTGCAGATCATCCCAAGTGAGGCAGGACTTGCCTAGAAAAAGCAGTAGACTATAGTCTGGCAGCTCTGACTCTTCTTATCTGTGAGGCTCTGCTAGACGGAGTCTAGAAACAAGCAGTGAGGTGCAGGGGCCAAGTGAGGCAGGACTTGCCTAGAAAAAGCAGTAGACTATAGTCTGGCAGCTCTGACTCTTATCTGTGAGGCTCTGCTAGACGGAGTCTAGAAACAAGCAGTGAGGTGCAGGGGCTTGAGAGTCAAGAGTGATCTAAGAAGCCTCTCAGCTCTAAATTTATATGAAAGGCAGCAGATGGTGAAATTCTTGGATGGTCTTTCAGTAGAACCACCATAATTTACACTTTGGACTGCTGTTTATGCTTTCTGCCTCCAATTTGTGAGATTAATGAAAATGTTAAAAAGTGAAAGTGATAATGTAACTCACGGGGTGACTAGATGTACCTTGGGCCAGTGAGGGCAGAACATGCCATGTGGCTGAAGTAGCTGAGGTGTGTGCCACCACAAGTAGTCTTTTCTCCTGTAACAGGTAATTGGTCGAGAGGGGATTACTTTTCTGTTAATGTAGATATCTGTTCTGTTGATGTTTGTTTTAGCAGGTAACATATCTTCAATCTTATACAAAAGTACGTTCACCCATTAATTCCTTCAAGTGCTGACAACACTCTGTGATATAGGTAGAACAATAATTATTACTCCCCCTCCACTCCTTACTGCTTATGAGAAAATGGTGACTTCCTCAGGGTCACACTGCTTCTCAGCAGCAGAGCAAGCTCTAGAATTTAGCTCACAAGTACAGAGGGATATTGGCTGTGGTCCTGTCTTAGACGGTGGCCTCTTTATAGCATATGACTCTAGAGAGAGGGAGGAGAAAGCGTTCTTGCTAGACAAAGCAGTCTCAGCCAGCTCCAGCAAGGACCAAAAGGAGGCTGGGTTTAGCCCAACCTCAACCGCTGGTGGAGGTTCAGTGGTTCACATGGGGAATAGTAGCTGTGGTTCTTGGACCATGACCTGCCCCTAGCCACACAGATTTGCCTCTGAATGGGAACTTTGTTTCTTAGTTCAAGGTAGTGGTGGTAAATCCAAGAACCCCAACGTAGCTCATCAGTCCCACTGTGGGTTCTCTGAACTACCTGCGAGGAGTAAGGCAGTATGGCTCAGGGCTTCTTGTTTGGAAGCTGAGGAATAGTGTTACTTAAAGAAGGGCTATCAAAACTGTTTCATTGCATATTTTCTAAAACTTGAGGAATAGGAGTAGTTCTTTTTGTGTAGCACTTAGAGTCTTCATTCCAATTAGGTCATTTAAAACTTGTTACATCTGTGAAGGGGGCAGTGCAGTAAGGACTTCTATTACTACTTTAGGAATGAGAAACTGAAGCACAGAAAGTTTGTTAGTACAATGCCTAATGTCAGTAAATAGTAAGTTAGGACTCAGCCAACTCTTGTCTTCTCTGTTATGTTTTTCCTCACCACATCTTTTCCCCAGTGCTCCTGTCCTTACTCTACATGTAAACTATACCTGTAGCAGCAGCTTCACCTTACCAACAAGCATTTTTTATTTACAGGGCACAGCCCTTCTGAGAGGAAAAGGCTAAATTCTAAGCTTTTTGTGGATATCTTATGACTGATTTCATTATGGCAGTGGGAGAGCCTTGACCCTCTAGCTGAATGCCTAAAAGGGCCTCAGCCAGCCAGTAGTTCCCCTCTTCTTATTTTCACCAGAAAAGTCAGGACTTTTCTCAAGTTTTGAGGAATAGTTTGCTGTGGAGCAGGGAATGCACCTAAGTGAATACACATTACTTGGGGTATGGGGGAAGGGATTAGGTATCTTCCACACAGAGGGCCACAGGTAAAGAGGTAAAGATGGAGAAATGCCTATGTGTGGGTGTTGGGTGATGAGGGGAGGGTGTTGTATTATGGAATAATCTGGATTCCATCTCTACTGGAGGGTGGGGAAGGGCAAGGTAAACTGGAAAACACCACCTCAGGAAGCCACTTCCTTCTCCAGCTGAATCATCCACCTGCCTGCAAGGAGGAAGGGCAGAGAGAGGGGAAAAATAACCAGCTGCTTTTAGATACTTTCTCAACCTTTCACCACCCCACCCCCACCCCTTTCTCCTTCAGGGCATTTTGCAAACAAAGGGGAAGAATCAACCATGGCTACCCAAACTCTAGGGAGTCACTCCTCCAAGGCCTGTAATTAGCATTAGGATTGAAGGTTTAGTCCTATAATGCCCTGGCATTTGTGCTCCTCAAATTCCTACCTCCCCAAAATCACACACCATCAAATACTATTAGAGACAGAAAGGGCTTCTGAAATGAACAAAACTTTTTCATTTTATAAAGAGAGCAGCAAATTCAGAGAGAAGAAATGACTTTTCAGGGCCACCTTATGAGTGGGATCTGAACATACCCAGGCCTCTAGGTTTATGCTAGTATCCATTTAAGGCCCAGCTTACTTAACTGTTGGGGAAAACACAGGCTTTGCACATCCATCTCTTGCTTCTCAGCCTACTATTAATAGAAGGCCAACGCCCTTTCTCTTCCCCTGTGGTGGTGGTAGATTAACATCTTTCTCTGGACTGAGAGACAGGGACATGGGGAGGGGGGCGGGTCTCAACATCGGAATAAGAACACTGGCTGCACAGTTTTCAGGAGGTCAGTGGGCTCCTAAGAATGCACAGTTACTGCAAGGAGAGACTTGGAGGTTTAGTGGCAATGATCACACAGATGGGGAAACGGCAGCAAAAGTGGGCTTTAAGATTCCAGGATCACAAAGGTGACAGACAGTAGGGGGGAAGGTTTCTTCTATAGTACTTCGAAATGCAGAATCATTGTGCTGAGGGGGAGAAAGAGAAGGGGAGACAGGAAGGTGTTGAGCAGTGTAAGTGGTCTCACTCAACCTCTAGGATGGCAGTGAGTGGCGTTCTTCCATAAGTAACAGGAAAGAGCAGGCAGTGGCTGAATTAAATTAAGACTTTTAGGATGTCAGAGCTGGAAAGTTCCTTAGAGATGGTGTTAGTAAGCCCCATCCTTTTATAGAGGAAGAAGCCAAGACCCAGAAAAGAGTGCTGTGACCTAGTCAGTGCCACACAGCAAGAACTGGGGCTAGAATCCATGTGTCAACTCCCAGGCCAGGGTTTTTTTCTCATTGAGTTCAGAGAACACTTACACTTAGTGGTTCTGACTTGGTTTGGCCCAGTAAGTTGTAGGAAATAGTTTCATTGGTGATACTAACTAGTTTATTAAATGTTTATTGGGGTTTAGCCAATTAGTGGGATTTACTCCATGTCTTTGATAAGCATTTCTGTAAAGTTCTGAACTGTGACATTTTATTTTTCTCTTTTTTAATTATCTTGTTCTGATGTGCTGGTCCCCAACACCTGCTGGTACATTTGTCTGCACAGCTCTCTTTTCTCTCTAATTTAAAGGATGCAACCAGAGTGGTGAAACAAAATCTGGCTGCCTGCCTGCTAAGGCCTTCACTGCCATTAGATACCCATACATATGATCCCACAAAACAGGAATGAAATGATGCTGAGGTAGAGATACTGCTTTCCTTAGCTATGTTTTACATTTATGATTGTGAGCCACCCTAATCACAATGCACAGAAGACACAGTACATAGGAAAGTTGTGTGCTCACTTATTGAGGTTTCTGGGCCTGTCTGTGCTTGAGTCATGCATATTCTCAGAGCTGGAAAGGCCCTTAGAGATGTTTCTGGCCAATCCCCATACCTCTTTAAGAAATTGAGGTCCCAGGTCATAATGATGAAATGGTAGAACTGTCCTTTCCGTTTTCAGCCTCACCTACTGTAATGGTGCTTTAAACCATTTGGATGGTTTAAGTCAAAACTCACAGAAAGTTGCCAGAATAATGTTCCAAAGGGAGTAGTGTTCATTGTCTGGCTGGAAGCCAGGGGGTGACCTCTTTTCCTGAGATAGTTCTCCTGAGCTTTGCGTATTTTAACAAATGCTGATGGTGTCTCATCCTTACTGCTCTCTTGCTCAGAACACAATACTAACTACCACCACCCACCTCTAGCTTACCCCACTTCTAATAATCCTCTCCCAAGGGCTGTAGATTACTAGCTCTACTGGGTTAGGAAATGATTGTGTCTTGGGTGTATCTAAGGCTAGTTCTGAAAGAACTGAATGGTAGTCTAGGAAATCTCTGAGTCAGTCTAGACCAGTGGTTTCTAAATGATATTTGGTAATAAGCTGCCTAAGAATATCCTGAGGTATTCATCACAAATGCAGGTTCCAGATCTGCTGTATCAGAATCTTGAGGAGATGGGGTGTAAACATCTGTATTTTAAGCAAGCTTTCCAGGTGATTACGGTGCACAGCTAGATTTAGGATATCCATTGGGACCTTTGCTACCAGTCATAGTTTGGCTGAGACTCTTAAATAGATCTCAGAGACAAGAGGACAGCCTCATTACATTAGTACATTAGTACAACCTTTATGATTTGCAAAAACACTTCCCATCTGTTATTTTATTGGATACTCATGATAATCTTGTTAGACAGTAGGATAGGCATTAGACAACATGACAGGCATAATTATCCCCACTTTGCAGATGAGCAAACTGAGCCCTCTAGAGCTTACAGTCAGTAAGTGACACAGTAATTGACAGAGTTCCAATGCCCTCTATTTCACACATTTTGGCATTTAAACCCAGGGCCTAAGCCCAGGGTCAGGACCTGACATTTCATCTTTGACTTCACCTGTATAGACTTCCTAGAGGGATGATCCAGTTTGCAGTTCCCATGTGTTAGGGATTTGTCCTGGCTTCTCTGGTTTTGGGGCAGCGATCTCTTGCGGGTAGAGTGCCATACAATACTAACACTAGGTATCATTTTCATTCCTTGTGCCCCAGAAAGCCAGCAGGTGCAGGGTGGCGTTCTTCACTAGCGCAACGACAGGAGGCCTCTGGGGCAGGTAGACTGACTTTATTTCAGATTTTATAATCAATTTAACTTGTTCTAATTGGTTGAATAATGATGTTCTACATTTCCGAAGACATTTAGTTGGCATCTATAAAAAACCCACAAGCGTTTGCTAAGCAGGTGTAACTGAAATCGAAAGATGAATTCATTATTGTTATGGTTGCTCCTCCTGGGCAGAACTACCCGGCAGCCCCAGGTCCTGTGGTCTTTTAACTTTTTGGGGAGTGGAGGTGGGAGTGGAGTGGGGATATGCAGTTTCTGTCAGGCAGAATTCCTGGTCATTTCAGGTCTGTACTCTTTATCTTTTAAATAGGACATCAGGATTGGATACTCTACCTTTGAAGCCTTTGTCCATAATGTATGTGTTCTGGCGTCTATCCATTCCACAAGCACCTGCATAAAGATAATATAAGGAAAGAAAATATGGGGGCGAGTTTTACTTAGACTCCTTGTGTTCTTTTTTTCTTCTTGCTTTTTTTTTTTTCTCACCTACCCAGAAAATAAATAGTTTATTGCTAGAAAATTATTCTGTGTTTAATCTACCCTAAATTGTTTTGAGCATACAGGAATTCTTCAAAGGCTCATAAGCATTAAGGTGAGCTACAGCACTCCCTGGCATATTTAGGGCTCCTCCCCCCTTAACGTTCACCCTTGGGGAATATTTTTCTAAAGGTAATAAAAGGCAGTTCTGATGCCACCTGCAGTCACTGTAGGTGAAGTTCCAGGCTCCGAAGGTATAGGGTAAAGAATGAAGCAGAACCAGTTCTTATCTTGAGGGAAGGATACATACTTTACAAATCCCAGTTCTGTTGGATTTTGGGATGGGGTTGGAGACAGTGTTTCTCATCTCTCTCAGCTCTGGTTTTGCCTCTCCTTTCCTAGATCTGAGGTTCAGCTGAGGGGAGCCAGAGAGAGGTAGACAGGTGGCTGAGTTTCTTGATTAGTCATCTTCACAGGATGTACAGTCATTCCCATCCACAGCCAGCTCTCTTAGTTACCCATTTTTTGGGGTGGACCATTTGCACATAATTGAGAGTTGTGTTTTTTAGCTCCAAGGATTTCTTTCTCCCTTTTGGCTGTCATCACAGTTTTTTCCTAGGTTCCCACAATGCGTGGTTCTGAGGCCCAGCCAGAGGGAGGACATAAAGCTGCAGGGACCCAGCTTGGGTTCTTTGCTGCTGGTGATCCCAGAAAAGAAATTGCTTGGCATTTCTACGTTGGGACAGTAATGACTCTAGTTCAAAGTCAAAGCCGTTTTTTTTTCCTCCAGCTTTTAACTGAGGACACAATACCAGGCAAGGCATGCAGCAAGTGCTTACTAGAATACAGTTTGACTCCACTCGACTCTCCCAGGCTTCTGACACTGAAGATGAACCAACCCACTGCTGTTTAGATACCTCTTCATACCTCTTCCAGATAGAGTTCCCAAGTTGAATTTGCAGGAATCTACTCCTATTGCCTGCCTTCCACACATTACTGACTGATATGGCAGAACCAGGCCCAAGTTTTTCTTAAGTTTGCTATTCCTTTTAAAGGCCTATGGGTACTTGTGCTCTTCAAAAGCGTGACTGCAACAGTCTGTATGCTGGCATCAGTTCAGTGCTTCATCCTAGATAAGGGCTTCCCTCGCCCCTCCCTGAGGGAGGCTATGATGCTTAACTTTTCCTCCTTTTTACAGAACAGGAAACAGAGGCCCAAAGAGTAGCCGTGACTTGTTCCAGACCACACCAGCAAGTGAGATGTTAAGTTGTAACTAGAGCCCAGATCTCCCCAGGTATTCTCTCCCATTGGTCACCAGCCTGCCTGTGTGTAAGCCAAAAAATGACAGCATGTGGTTGAACAGTGAGATCTGTAAAGTAGGGAGAAATCCGGCCTGAGCCCAAAGGATGCTTCCATGTGGAAAAAGATACAGGGTGGTGGTGATGGTGGTGTGTGGGTTGGGGGATTATAGTTGATGGGGTTATTGGATGCCCCGTACACTGTCCAAGGCACCCACAGACAAGAACACAGCTTCCTTGGTATAGGCCCTGGGTCCCTGCAGCCCATGCCTGCTTAACAGGCAGATAAACTCATAACCTTCACTCTTCCTAGTGCTGTTAGACCCAGGGATCTATAGGGGATGGTAGAGCTTTTCAATTTCCCTTGAACTCTAGAAGCCAGTTGAAACCTGCGCTTAGGCCCAGAGGTGTACAGTGAGCTAAGGTCCTGCCCCCAGAGTGTCCTAGAGGAGCCGCTTTGTAGGGAGGCCACATTCGTTGTTCATTCATTGCACTCATTCCTGTGATACCTACTCTGTAACTCCTACCCACACACTCTTGTTTCAAGACTGATTTTCGAAGTCTCCTTTTTGCATCTCTCCGAAGGCAACAGGTTTGAGCTCAATACATGAGTACAGAGGATATGGGTTGATACATCCTGCCCCAGCCTTCACATCCCTGGCCTACAGCCCTACCCAATGGTCTGGCTTGGGTCACTGGTGGGCCTGGGCTCTCTCTTAGGGAGACCTAGGGCTTTTGGGCCAGAGAGCCAACTCTCTGTTATACACACTAACTGGGCCCAGAGAATTCCAAAGTTGTTGCCATACTCAAATCATTTCTCAATGGTTTTGGATTGTATTTTGTGGCCTGTAGGGAGGGTAGTTAAAGCAGCCTGTTTATCCACATCCAGTGACCACAGTGGGAGCAGAAGTGATGTTGTGGAGGATCCAGACATGTTTCCTCCTTTAGATAGGGGATTGGGCTGGCAGACTAATCATTGGGGGTGAGGGTGGGAGTGGGGAGGGCTCAATAGGGAGAGTTCTGGGACCATGGGGGTGGGTCAAGGGACAGGGATGGGGAGTAGGACAGGTGCTGGGTCTGGTCTGGTATGAGGGGGTGGAGGGTAGGGCTGGGCATCTGACCTGGTGAGTGTGGCTCAGCGGGGTGGCTGAGGTGTCTAAGTTCAATGTAGAAGTCCTCGGGCGGGTACCTGGCCTCCAGGGCACTGATCTGGAAATGGGAGTCTAGTGAGAGGAATGACAGGGAGGAGCCATTATTCCCAGGGCCCTTGTATGGCAGGGGAAGGGGTTGGGAAATACATCAGGGGGCAAGGGTCAGGGTGGGGCAGGCTGGAAGAAAACAAGGCCTCTATGTGTAGCATCCAAAGGGGCTGGGACCAGGGCCAGCGGGGCCAGGGGGATCTGCTGGAGCCCAGGCTATCTGCCTTGTTTCCCCTCCCCTCCCCTCCCCCACAGGAATTGGGTGCCCATTAGGGCAGGGGGCAGAGGAAGAAGCCCTTGAAAGGGGCACCTTGGTAGGGCCTGGGTCAGCCAGAGGTCCCTTTCCCAGATTTGTTTCCCCTCCCCTCCCCTCCCCCACAGGAATTGGGTGCCCATTAGGGCAGGGGGCAGAGGGAGAAGCCCTTGAAAGGGGCACCTTGGTAGGGCCTGGGTCAGCCAGAGGTCCCTTTCCCAGATTGGAAGTGCATCTTTTGTTTCCATTTGGAATTCCCACATCCTGGCCCTACCTGTCTCCCTTGTGGTCCCCGGGTATTAGCCACCCTCTTCCTATTCCCTAATAAAGAAATGAAGGGGTTCCTGGGCTTCATTTGCTAGTGAGAGCCAAAATAGAGGCTTGGGTTTCTTCCTCACATCTCTTCTCCCTGGGGGAAACCATGCTCGGGACTCGTAACCCTCTCCCTTCAAGCTGCGACAGGACTCTTAATATGGGAGAAGGAGAACAGGGTGGGACATGATAATGGGAAGCAGACTCATACCACTACTGACCTAACACGTTCACATAGCTGTAGGGGGTCCAGCCTGCTGTGTCTCTGTCAAGGGACTTGTTACTGAGCTGTTTGGAAAGTAGGAGAGCCAGTTAATACCTACTATCCAGGTGCCCCTCCCCAGCCTCAGCAAACCCACCCCTGTGGTGATCCTGACCACTTGGATCATAGACCACTGAGGGAAAGGGAAAGCTATGTGTCTCATGGCAAACCAGCGTGGTGTAGCTGAGGCCAGTGGAAACATACCCTAACTAAGCTGTTAGGCTAAAGCTGTAGGGTTCCCAGGCTCCCTGGGCAAAGGGGGCCAGGAACAGGGCCTCCCAAGAGCCAAGAACTGGCTTGAACCAAGCTGGCCCTGGCAGGAGAAGCAGGTGAGCTGGGTAGAGCTGAATTGCAGGAATGGGGCCTCTGGCAGTGTCTCAGCTAGAATGTGAGGCTATCTCCAGCGCAGAGAGAGGTGCTAAGGCTGCCTGCAATATCACTGTCACCTGACCTGGGCTGAGTGTGAGATTCTCCCTTTCTCTGACCAAGGGAAAGCCTCAGCGCAGGGTGTCTTGAGGCTATGGTGCAATCCTTCCTCTCCCTGTATTCTTACAGCTGCCTCTCATATGAGGCAAGGATGGTTATCCTCATTTCACAGATGGGGACCTGGGTCCTGAGTCAGTGGCAGAGCTGGGTCTAGAATTCAGGTGTCAGCTCCTAGTCCGATGTTCTTTTCATGTCATCACAGCTGCCTGTCTCTGTTGCAGGTGCCCTGTCTACCAAACCAGGGTTCTTGACACAGAGACACTTCTGGCTCCTGGGGTGAGCTGAGCCAGAGGGCCACCAATTAGGGTACTCTGCAGTAACTCTGACCAAAAATGATATGGCCGCAGGACTCTGCCTCTCATCCCTGGCATCCTCTGCCTCTACTGCTGCAGCCTTGGTAATGTGGCTTTAGTTAATCAAGGGCCTCCTACTGGGAAACTCCAGATTCCCTTCCTTCAGCTTCCAGCAACTCAGACAAGGCTAAAGCTGAAGCTGACAATGAGGGTTGGAGCTGAGGAGATACATAGGAAGAGTAGCCAAAGCTTGTGGGCTGTGTATAGGGCTGATGGCCATGGACTTGACATACAGGTCTCAAGGTACCCTGCTTGCAGCACTTCTGTTTCATAAGAACACAGAGACTGAGAGTGGCTTTGACAGCAGTTGCTCTTGAGGGTATCTGTGTTACTGTTGCTGTGGGGTTCAGGCTGCAGTGTCACCAAGTCTATGGCAGAAAGTATGGTCTGTGTGCTGGTGGTCATTCTCCATGGGGCAGACATGGGGGAAAGGATTCCCAGAGCTCTAGGGCAGAGACCTAGAGTATGAAAGCTATGCTCCTAGTCCAGGATGGATGTTACAGGAAGCCAGGAGTCCTGGGATTGCCCTCCCAAATGGTCCTGCTGTTGTGTGTGTGTGTGCACATGTGCATGGGCACACACAGGTGGGTGTTAGGAGGTGGGCATCATGAGCTCATCAGACCTTGTGTGTCCTTGGGGCTATTCTTCCTCAATTCCTCAGTCTCCTGCTCTGCCTGGTGTGCGGAGATATCTCTGCCCAAAGTCCTGTGACTGTAAGAGGATGTCTTGCCATCAGCCAGGGTTATGCTGGAAGCTGTCAGGGAAGGCCCTGTCCAGGAGGGTGCAAACCTGCCAGAGTCACTGTCAAGGAGAACACTAGCTACAGCTGATGTTTGGGTTCCACGTCCCTTGTATTGGTTCAGATTGCAACAAATGGTTGTAGGTGTGTATTGATGACATGTATGTCCAGGTACAAGAGACACTGGGTGGTTACCTGAGCAACAGTAGTCACTCTATAATGTGCTAGTTGCACACATCATGGGTAACATACTGCAGTGATTTGTGGTAGGTGGTATAAAGTTCTGATTACCTGTGTTGACATGTGGCAAAATGACTACATGATATACATGGTTATTTGTGACAAAAAGTCTATACACAATAATTATATGACTTAGTATCAGTTGTTTACATATAAGGTGTAGGTGACTGATGCTGTGGGTTGGTTATTACATGTGATGCCTACGGGTACATGGCACTTGTTGGCTCCATATGACATGCTGGCTTCTGCTACATGCTTCACAGAGTGTTTACATGTACCATGGACCACAGGGCTACTCTTAATGTATTGGTGGTTGGTTCCACATGGACTCTCCATGCTGGGGGGTACATGTCCTTCCTGGGCAGAGGTGAGGGCTAAATGAGAGGACATGGGGTTGGGGAGAGGCTGGGTAGTTAGGGGCCCGGTACCTTGGTGGGGCTGTTCCTGTCCAGAGTGCTGGCCTGGCTGGTGGCAGACCCCCCGCACACCAGTGTGTGGTAGCTGGAATTGGAAAAGCACTGGGCATGGCTGCTACTTTGAGGCAAATCTGGGAAGAGAACAAGGTGCCATATACCATCATACCCCTGCTCCTGGCATGAGACACCCCTGATACTAATGCTTGGGCTGGGCAGCTTTGTGAATGCCCCGAAAAGAGAGACAACCAAGTCTCCCATCCCCCACGCTTCCTGGCATCCACTACCCCTGTAGAAATTTGGAGAGCCTGATTTGTTCCTTCCCTCATGCTGGCCCTCTCTGCAGCATGCAGGATGCAAGTGAGGCTTGCCAGTGTAGAGAGTGGCACCATCCTCACATGTCCCTGAGTCTCTATTTAGGGGTGGGCTGACCCTCTCTTCCTCCTCCTAGGGTCACATCCCAGTAATGAGTCCATAAAGAGAACCCCACTCCTCTTGGCCCCAGTCCTTCCCACCTGGGGATTCCAGGGCCTCTCCACAGGGCCAGGGAATACCAGAGGAATGGCATGAAAAACTCAAGCCAACCTTGCTCATTATAGTCATAGAAGAAGATCCCCAAATCTCCTCTGTGGGCTTGGGATTTCATCATAGGATGTCTGCTTCAACTAAAATCCAAGGGGGCATGCAGGCCAGGAGCTCCTTGAAGGCAGGGTCTACGTCTGGGCTGCCTCTGTCTATCCTGCAGTGCCTAGCATGGAGCTGGGCATACAATAGGTGACGTGTAGCAAGACTGGGCTGAAGTGATCTGGGTTTTCTAAGTGCAAGGTGCAGAAGGCTGCAGGTCAGCTATGAGTTATGGAGCCAGCTGGAAAGAGCTGTCATGCTGTGCTCACCTAGACAGGCGCAGCCTTCCCTGGCCCAGGGCTATGGGCAATTTCAGAGCATTTTGGCCTCTACAGCTTAGCCAACTATGAAGCAAGAGCCTTTCTTATTTCCAAGGCAGCAGTCTAGGGTTCAGGGGAGAGGAAGGATTGGCCCAGCAGCCCCTCCCCCACCCCATTTTATCAGACTCCCAGATAGAATGCCTATTGGAGTTGTTACCACATTTGTAAACAGACTGGGCTCTGGCATGCCTGCCAGAGGGACATTGTCCAAACTTTCAGACCTCCCCAAAGTCAGGTAACACCCCCTTCCACTGTACTAACAGGGCCCTATTAAGGCCCTAACTCTGGGAACTGTGAGGGAGTGTTGCACTGAGGCCTTCACAGGGGAAGCAGAAATGGAGAGGGCCTGGGCACTGGGCTCCAAGGCCTGTCTTCCTGAGGTGGTACAGGCATGAGGCTGGGGAGATGTTCCCTTGGAGAGCTTAGGAAAGTCGCTGCTTAGTATAGGTGCTCCTGTGGCTGAAGCCTGGCGAGAAGGATGGGGAAGCTCTGGGGAAGTGAAAAGAGGCTCCTAACCTAGCTGCTCAGAGCTGGGGGCCCAAGAAATGAGACCCTCTTGGAACCCCATGTACATTTCCTAGGTAGGCTCCTGCTCCCCAGCTGTAGCAGTCAACTCTATAGGCACAACCACCCACCTTCAGTGATAAACCCAAGTGTTCCAAGGATACTGTGTGGCTGTTTCTGAGTTGTGTGTGTGTTCAGAGGGAGGGGGTTGCTGGGGGCATAGCCCTTACCTGAGAGGGAGTAGTCAGTGCTGGTTATCCTCATGGCAGGTGTGTAGGAGACACGGGGGCCCAGGTCATGGCCCTTCTCTTTCTGCCGCCGCCGGCGCCAGGCAAACAGGCTCAGGAGCACCACAATGAGGAACAACAGCAGGACGATGCCTGTGACAGCCCCCACCGAGTGCCGCTCTGAACCCAGTGCTGGGCCAATTTTGGTGTAGGGATTCAGCTCTTCCATCATGAGGGCAGCTGCAGACAGAGGGAGGGTCTGAGCCTGGGGCAGGCCGGCTTGCTCTTCTGATCTCCTTGGCCCGGGCTCAGACTCCTCTAACCTCTCTAATGTTAGAATAGGAAACCTGATTCTGATCTTGGCCTTGTTCCTCAATCCTGTGAGGTGTGTGACCTCACCCCTCACTGCCTCAGTCTCTTCAACTGCCTAAAAGGAGATGGAGTCCAAGGGTCATGACAAGAAGCAAATGTGATTATGGATGTAGAACAAAATAATAACAAATGCTTATTATTTTACTCTTCCAAAACTGAGTTACAGATATTAACTCATTTAATCTTCCCAACAGCCCTATGAAATAGGGACTATTAGTCACCAAAAGTTAGGTAACTTGTTCAAGATCACACAACCAGTAACTGGCAGAGTCAGCTTTCTCAGGAGTCGGGAAGAATAAGACTCAGCCCCTCTCCCTGCTTACCAGCTGTATGATTCAGAGTCCCCAGTTTGCTCATTTGTAACATAGGGACAATAACCCCACCCTCCCCGGGGGGCTGTAGCACCAAATGATAGACTGGCAATGAAAGCTGTGAACACCCTGCCAGTGTGCCTGGGATCACTGTGCACAAGACTCTCTTGATTACATATGAGGGTACTTCAAAAAGTTCATGGAAGAATGGGATTAAAAGATAATATGAATCCTTCCATGAACTTTTTGAACACCCCTTGTATGTGTGAGATAACCCTGCTCCATGCTGATGCTCAGTGCAGAGGGCCATCCTCTAGCCCAGCAGCGTCTAGGCCCCTTGCTGGCTGTCAACTGCTGGCTGAACTGAGCTGGCCATCATCACCAGAGAGGTAAACGTGCTGCATTATCATCCTCAGAATACAATGGAAAGATGTCTTTTGGCTCCTTTTCTGTAATGTGGATGATCGAGAGTCCATTCTCACCGCCCCCATCTCCGAGAACCAACAACAATAAAATCCCTTACATGTTTGCAGCACTTTATCAAGTGTTTCTATGTACACAAAGCCACAATTTATGGAGTGCTCACTTATGTGCCAGGCACTGTGCTGAGTCCTTTACTTCCACACAACTGCACTATGAAGTGTCATCTGACTGTAGTGGCAGAGCCAGAGCCAAGGTCGAGCAAGGCCTTTTGGACTCCTTGGGCCTCAGGAACCTTGTGTCATGGGGAAAGACAAAGATTCGTCTACTTTTCCCACTCTGCGTGTGGAGTAACAGGCCCAGCAAAAAGGAAATGACCTGGCTAAAGACACCAAGCAGGTATATCACCACTTGGCAGATATTCCTACTTGGTCTGGTGGCCTTTCCACAGCACTAGCTTGTGGTTACCCTTGCTTGGCACACAGGAAACTTGCAAAAGATGAGCATGGGGAAACCATGACTGAGGGGCTGCCTGCTCCATCTGCCTCTCCAACACTTGGAGCCTCTGCCTCCCCATCTGCAGCCCACCCCAGTCCTGCTCTCCTCCCAAATGTGACTAAAGAGAAGTGTCCTTATAAAACCCAGCTATTCCAGTTGGACTCTCCCTAGAGCCTCCACGGAGCCCTTTCCACAGCCCCCTGCCCACACACACTGCCACCTGTGTATTACCTTGGTCACACCTGATTCCTTTGAATCCAGGGCTACAATAACAGGTGCCAGTGACGTGGTCACAGGTGGCATTGTTCATGCACTCACATAGCTGCTGACACCCGTAGCCGAAGGTTCCTGGGGCACATCCTGTATGGCACAATGAGGGTAGACAGTGAGAAGCACCCACTCCCGTGCCATGTGTGGACAGCTATGGCGATAAGCCAGTTCTGCCTCACACTGAGTGCAGCCTATTTCCCTGTAGCTCCTGTTGTGCTTTGGTTAGATACCTGGGGGTGAACAAAACACTTATAGCCCTGAGTGGGGGGATGCAGGCAGAGGAGGGAAGGGCAGGGCTCACCCACCCCTATTTCTTCCTCATGCAACATATTTAAGCAGTATCCTCCATGTGCCCTGAGCTGGGTGCTGTAGGGGCTTCAAAGTCTCCCTGTACTCTCTCATTACCCCTTCAGGCCTCTTAATGCTCCCCATTCCCATCCCAGTTGGAGGAAAAAATTCTTTAAACACCAATGACGTTCTTCAGTCTTTTTCCTTGGGAGTTACCCAAGGGAGCAGCAAGTGCGGAACCCTGAATGAGTGGACTCTGAAGGGGGGGGGCTTCCCCTGCAGGAGGCTGAGGACTGGCACTTACACCCACGGTTGGGGGTTGGGACAGCTTACTCTGCTCACAGTGTCGCCCGGTGAAGCCCGTGCGGCAGGTGCACTTGCCACTGATGTGGTCACAGCTGGCGCCATTCTGACACTGGCATACATGCCCACAGTCCTTCCCAAAAAACGCTGCTGGGCAGCCTGGAGAAACAGGATGTCTGGTTACAGGAGTTGCTGCAGGGTGGGGACAACTGTGGATGTGCAGCTGGGACCAGGCCTGTCTTCTGTCTCCTCTTTCACTGAGTATGGGGTGGAGACTGGTGAGACCCTGCACTGGAGCCGTCTCCATGGGCTGCACCCCCAAGCTGAAGGGGTAGGGGTGGGTCGAAGGGGTCCTTCAGACAAAGTGGTCTTGGAATCAGAGGTCAGGCTCAAGTCTCCTTGTCAAAGGCTGTTCCCACTGTGGGCCTTACTGTCTAAGGAGGGTCTGGTCTCAGAGATTGTTGGTGTACCTTATAGCTCTGACCTTCCAGGACTTTGGGCTAGTCAACCCCCTGAATCCAGACAGGTTCTGGGGCTGTCCCTGCAGAGCTCCCCAATTCTTGGTGCGGGAGGTAGGGGGTCTTGGCCCTGGGGACAGCTTCCTCCCTTCCTCATTCCCTCCCTCCATTGCAGGCCCAGATGACAATGCCCACAGCTGCCAGCAGGCTGCAGCATGGGATTCCAAGTGGCTGGGAGGCTGGGAGGCGGGGCTTACGCTGCGTGCAGAAGAGTCCGGTCCAGCCAGGGGTGCAGTGGCAGGCCCCGTCCTCGGTGCTGCAGCTTGCCCCGTTGTGGCAGCTGCATGTGTGGAAGCAGGCAGGGCCCCAGAACCCAGGTGGGCAAGCTGAGGGGTGGGTGGGATGTAGAGGATGAGGGCAAGGCAGAGAGGTGCAGATGGAAAGGGAGAGGAAGGGGGAGTACATGTCAGAGCTAAGAGGCCAGGATGGGTGGCATTTCCTGGCTTTCAGGGGCTTGGCACACTGCTCCCAAAATTTCTCCACTCACCTCTTGGCTTGGTCACCCAGGATTCCCATTAAGCCCAGATTCTCTGCCCACTCTCCAAGTCTTCGTTGACTAACTCAGCATGGCTCTGAGGGCTTCTGAACCTCCCCTGTTAGGGGACTGACTGATTTGGAGCACTAACTCAGCATGGCTCTGAGGGCTTCTGAACCTCCCCTGTTAGGGGACTGACTGATTTGGGTAAACAGTTTACATGGGTAAACATTGTGGTTTACAGTGTGTATACTGTGTGTACTAACTTCCCCATGAGGATGGGGACTTTCCCAGGCAGGGACTCTCTCTTCTCTTTTGGCTGGTGAGCTCCCTGAACCTCCCCATCAGAATGGAAATCCCCTCAGTTCAAGCCATCTAACTGTGACCTCCCTAGGGGTACTGGCTAGGTCTCACCCATCAGACAAGGAGCTCCTTGAGGCACAGGCTGGGTCTCCACCCTTTGATTGGGGGTTTTCTGGGGAGGGGCTGTTACCTCTGCATCAGAGTGGGTGCACCTTACATCAACAGCCCTTACAATGCTCTGTCTTGGCTTATGATGCCCAGGACATCATTATTATGGGCCACCCAGAGGGCACCCGTACCCCTTCCAAGGTGACTGTCTTATCCTTTTCTCGCTTCCCCACTACCAAACCTGGCATGCCAGTCCCTGCCTCTTCCTTCTCCCTATCCAAACCCAGGGGCTGCTCCTTTCTCAGCTGCTAATGAAGTATTAATTCCCAGAATTGGCAACAATATCAATATCTTTAATACCAGCAGTTAACAACGCCCATGATCAAAACTAATAATTCATCATGTTAGCTATAGCACTAAATGGGACTCAGGTGGACGTTGCTATCTGCAGAAGATTTCAGCCCTGGAGATGGAGGCACCAGGGCAGAGAGGTTCTGGGCAAGGAAAGAAGAGTTTCAGTGCCTGACCCTATGTGGGGGCATTTCCAAGGGGTAGCAGCTTACCTTGTGAGCAGTCCTTGCCAATCCATCCGGGGAAGCACTGGCAGGAGCCATCGATGGGGCTGCAGGTCCCATTGTTGGCACAGGAGCAGAGCTGGGCACAGTCCTGCCCAAAGTGCCCTCCAGCACACACTGTGGGCACAGGGCAGCCTGGCACCTGCCCTTTCACCTGTGCTTCTCAGACTACCACCCACAGCTGCATCCCACAGAAGTTCCCAGGCTACAGCCATGACCACCCTGGGGTCATGGATCTGGAAGGGAACTGCCCACTTCAGCACTCCCATCACTCTTCTCCATTTGCATGTAAATGAGTTGCCCCTCTCATGCCCACAGCTGCATTCTTCGGGAATCGCCAAGGTCCACAGAGGTTGAATCACTTGTCTTAGGTCTCACAGACAAATGGGAAGTGGTGAGGCTGGGTATTACATCTCTGGACTCTCAGCAGTGCTCTCCACACTGCTCTGCAGCCTTCTGCTTTCCATTAGCACACTTTTGCCAGCATCACTGATCTCATAGCCACAAGGGCAGAGAGTGCTTACAACTGGATGGAGAGGGACAAATGCAGTGTGGCAGGTCTGTCTGCAGTTCGACTGTTGGAGCACCCACTCTGAATGTCTACGCCATCCTCCTGTTTCCTCTGACCTGTTCCTCAAGCTTCAGCTCAGCGTCCTCCTCAGGAAAGCCCTCCTGGGTTCACGAGGCCCTCTCCTCCAGTGAGCCCCCATAGTATTTCCACTTTGAGTCACTTGGAGGATATTGGTCACAGTCCCACCTGGAGGAGCTGCTCATTGGTCCCTGGAGGAAGGGCTGGTTTCCTCAGTCAGGCTTCAAGCTCTTTTAAGACTTGGTCTGTGTGTTATCTGGGCACCTACCCCTGTAATTCACCCCTCAACTGCTTCCTACACCCTGAACTCTCTAAAGCACAGCTCTCTTTGTGACACTTCTGTGCTCTGCTCAAATAGCCTCAATGGCTCCCCATTGCCCCAGAATAAAGTCTGGATCCTGCAAATGGGCACTCAGCTGGGTTATCCTTGACCACCCATCTCTCTCCACATGAGCCACTGGACCACACACCACTTTCTAAGGGCACCCCATGCTTTTCCTTTGTGCCTTCTCTCCAGCTGTTCCTTTCCAAAATTCCCTTGACCTTCATGTCCAGCTATGGAAATCCTATTCTGCCTACAGGACTCATCTTAAATGCCACCTCCCCCAAGATCCCTCTGTAACAGACTGCTAGTTTTCCCTCAATATCGATTCTCTTCTTCCTCAGAAGTAGAATAAAGACTTCATTCCTTAGACTTCTGTATAGTTAGGTATGGCCATGGGACTACATTCTGGCCAGTGGTAAGTGGAAATGTGTGTGTTTATTTGCCCATTCTTATTGTTGAAGGATAATGTAGCCCATGGATAAGAACTGTGGATAAGAGGGCTGGAGCTCAAACAGCCATCTTTCATCAGAGGTGGAAGCCATGTGCTGATGGCGGAAGAAGACAGAAGGAGCCTGGGATCCTAACATCTTTGTAAGCTACCCTAATATTCCTCAATGGTCTGCTTCTGAATCTTTTTTTTTTTTAATGTGTTAGGGAAATAACGCTTATCATTTTCAAGCCAGTTATTTGAGTTTTGTGTCACTTATAGCTGAACTTAATCCTAACTGACTCACCCCTCTCTGTTCTGGGTGGCTATGTTCCTGTTTGAGCTTCCAGGTAGTTTCTTCCCTGGTCTTCTGTTACTGTAACTTGTGAGCTTGTTTCAGGCCGGGCTTTGGTCCTACCCATGTCTGTGTCACCTGAAATGCCTGGAAAAACAGCAGGTGCTCAAGGTGTGGTGGCTGACTGTATGGAAATAAATTGGCCATGCCTTTCTCCCTACTTGACTGCCAAGTTCTTCTGGAAAAGGCTGTACTCAGAATTTTCCCTACTGGACCTGGCTTTGTGAGGGCAGAGAACATGGCTCACTTGTTCTTTGTTGTGTCTGAGTGCCTAGCACAGTGCCTGGTATATAGCAAATACTCAGGAAATGTTGCAAAATGACCAAAATAGGCCTTAGGAACAGTGACCTTCCAGAGGGTTCTGCTGGGGTCAGTGACCCCTGACCCTTTGAACTTCTCTCAGTTCAACATGCTTCTCTCAGGGCCGGCCCCGTGGCACGCTTGGGAGAGTGCATGACCAAAATAGGCCTTAGGAACAGTGACCTTCCAGAGGGTTCTGCTGGGGTCAGTGACCCCTGACCCTTTGAACTTCTCTCAGTTCAACATGCTTCTCTCAGGGCCGGCCCCATGGCACGCTTGGGAGAGTGCAGCCCTGGGAGTGCTGCGACGCTCCTGCTGCAGGTTCAGGTCCTATATAGGACTGGCTGGTGCACTCACTGGCTGAGTGCGGGGCAGACGACACCACACCAAGGGTTGTGATCCCCTTACCAGTCACGAAAAAGACAAAAAAAAAAAAACAACATGCTTCTCTCAAAGCCCCATTCCAGCCAGCCCTATATCCTTGAAGAAGGCTTCCTTGCACCCTTGTTATGGGAGAGCAGCTCCTTGAATCTCTGAGGCCCTCAGCTGGCTGAGCCACATGGAGGATCATAGGAAAGTGTTGAAGTGACTTCCCCAGGGCTCAGGCCGCTCAATTTTGTATATGAAAAAAATTTAGGAAGCTTTGTTGTTTCATTTTGCCACCCTCTCCTTTACACCACACTGCCTCATATTGCTAGCCTTTCCCCAATCAGATTGTGAGCACTTGGTGGCCAGGATCTGTGTCCACTCTGTGCCTCTCCTGGACATGATTAGTGCTTGAGACAAACAGTAAGGCAGCATGGTGCACCAGACTTTCCAGTCCAAAATCTTGGGTTTGGGGCCTAGTTTTACTTATGTATTAAACAAACACATATATGGTGCTTATATGCACCAGACACTATTCAAAGTCTTTCTCAAAGGTTCACTTAATCTTGCAATACTTTCATTATTATATATTCCTATTATTACTACCTATTATTAACTCTATAGATGAAGAAACTGAGGCACTGAGACATTAAGCAACTTGCTCAAGGTCACACAGCTAGGAAATTCTACCACTTACAGGCTAAGTGCCTTTGAGCAAGCCACATTACCCCTCTTCATCTGTTTCCTCATCTTTGAAATGGAGATGAGAACCCTCATCCAGTGGCCACGGGGCTGTGGTTAGTAGCTATGGGCAGGCTGGCTGATTTGGGGCCCTGTGCTTCTGCCAAAAACCTTAGCACCTTCCCAGGCAGGTCCACTGCCAAGAGGATGACATGCATCTCACCTGTTTGCAGCTTAGGTTCCAGCTTCAGCTTCCTGAAAAGCAGGTGGCCCAGCCTCTTCTTCCCTCTCTGGGAGGTGCTTGATTTGGGGAGCCTATCCCTCAGTCCTGGCCTCTGTGGGGAGCAGGGTGCTAGAGCTCCCCTCTTACCGCTACCACCAAGACCAATTCTGAGCTTCTCTAACAAGAACGTCTTTGAAGTCTTTCTCACACACACAAGGCTGACAAATTCACCCACAGAGCTGCTAATGTGATCAGTCTAATACATTAATTGGTTGACTTCTTAGCTGAATTAAGAGCAAAACAAAGAGAGGGGCGGTGGAGAGAAGGGGGGACTGGTGAAAAGAAAACATCTGGTTATATTTAATCTATATTTAATGATTCCGCATAAGCAGTGTCTGTAATTTGTAACTCGCTGGAAAGCCGGTCATTAGAAAGTGTCAGTTCAATTTTTTACAAGGTTTGAGACTTAAACAGGGCAGTTGCCATTAATAGCAAACTCTATTAGATCTGTATGTAGGAAATACTCATTAGGCCAGCGGGTGATAAATCAGACAACGCAGGATCGGAGAGTTACTCCTTGGGCTGCTTAGGTCCTAATTTAAACCTGGCCTATCTGTATTGATGGCAAGGTCTCCTATGTTTAATAAGTAAACCTTGACATGTCAGATTATGATTAAACTATCCTAGGAGGGCTGCAAGCAAATGAAACTGTCACATATGTTTCCCTGGGGCCCAAACTTCTCATGACCTCACAGCATCATGAAGTAAACTTTCTACTCATACATATTAACGGCCCACACACTTGCAGAAATAGCCCAGCTCAGAGGTGATTATTCATCAAAAGAATGGGTTCCCCTGGGGGGTAGTAAGCTCTTGGTCAATGGAAGTATTTAAGCAGAGTCCACATGAGATTCTTGCATAGATGACCTTGAAGTTGCTTTTAGCTGTAAATTTAACTTATCCTAAGATCCCTTCATGAGTTAGAGTGCAAATTCTGTAACCTTGTGTTCAAACCTGTTCTGAGGCCCCAGACTACCTTCTCAGCCCCCTTTCCCATCCCCAGCCACTGCATCCTTCAGCCGTTCCCTCTGTCCATGCCTCTGTGCTTTGCCCTACCTGTTTTTTCCTCTAATGTCTTTCAGAATGTCTCTGCCTTTCAAGCTAACGCCCAGTCGAAGCCCTGCGTGGTTCATGGAGCCTTCCCTCAAATCCACACTACCTTGGCCTAAGTAAGCCAGGGATAATAATAAGCAAAGGTGTGTGCTAGACCCAACTACTTCCTTCTCACTGTTGGTTAAATATTCAGGAATTTTCTAAATAGTATTAAACCATTGGTACCTTGAAATCACCCATGGTAGGAATATTTATAACATAGAAATCTATAAATGTTACAAATCAGAGATTTTCCCCACAAAGAGCCAGTTTAGCAGCACACCAATGCAAATAAACTTTATCTTCCTTTTCAGCTCTTGTTGAGTGGTAGCGGTTGCCTGGAGTTGGTGTTGTGAAGGGTTCTGAGGTTGAGACAGGAAAGTGCATGGTGAGGGATCAGGAACATTGGCCTGAGTGTGAGGCAGAAGGGTTGGGAAGATACCATCTCCAGCCAAAGCAAGAACCGTCTCCTCTGCACTTCCACAGCGTTCTCTGACTTTACCACTTGGTACTCAGCACAAAGCACTTGTTGCCACTTTTGATGTGGATCTCTTCTATAATTATTTCATTTTTTATCCCTTTAGCATGGGCGCTGGAGTCAGGATTTGTTTCTGCCACTTACTAGCTGTGAGACCATAGACAAGTCATTTAACTTCTCTAAGCCAGTTCTATTAATTGCATAATGGCTTTGTCTCATGCCATATAGTGCTCAATTCTTAGAAAGGTAGGCCAAAGTTCTGAAGAGGGAAGGAGCTGCCTCCACAAACAGAGCAAGATGAGCATCTCCAGAACCCTCCTTCTGTGCCACTTCCCTTCCAGGACCCCTCACCTCCCTGCCCCACACCTTCCCTCTGGAGACAGTACCTTGGTTGCAGAGGGCTCCAGAAAATCCTGGGAGGCACTCACAGACACCACTGACATGGTGGCAGGGCCCACTGCTATGCACGCAGAGGGGACATGGCTGGGCACAGCCATGGCCGTAGGACCCAGGGGGACAGACTGAGGGTAAAGGAGAAATGGTGGTCAGCAGCCCAAGGGGCCCCAGCCAGCCTAGCCACCCCTCTTTATCCCACATAGTGATGGAGGGAGGCTCCTCAAACATATGGGGAGATCCTCCCCATACCTTGGAGGGCCCATCCCTTTCTGCAGAGAGGAGCTGTGGTCTGGACTCCACTGAGGAGCTGGACTGGGCCCTGAACTTGGGGACAGAGCAGCTAGTTCAGGCAGAGAGGGAATGAGAGGGAGGGGAGAAATGGGGATTGACTCCAGGAGCCCAGCTTCTTTCAGGCCAGGACTAGTTCCAACTGGAAGGGCTGGGGAGCATGAGCTATCTGAGGTCTTTGGGGTGGGGTGGGGGGCTCAGCCTTACTTCTTTGGCATAAGGGTCCTCGGAAGCCAGGGGCACACTCGCAGCTCCCGTCTTCTGGGGAGCAGGAACCACCGTTCTCACAGCTACAGGAGACAGAGCAGTTGGGTCCCCAGCGACCAGGTGGACATGTGCTGTCACAGCGGATGCCTGTGGGCCAGAGGCAGATTTGAGTCAGTAGTAAGGGGTGAGGGCAGAGGGACGAATGAAGGACTTCCAGGAAGAGGTGATGTCCGAGCAGAGTCCTAAAAGACAAGGAGGAATTGACCAGGCAAAGGAAATTGTATGTGTAAAGAGCAGGAGTCAGGAGAGAGGTTAATGTCTTGAAAGAAATTAAAAATAGCACAGTGTGGCTGAACCACAAAGTACAAAATGGAGTATAGCAAGGGATGAGATTGTGGGAATAAGATAGGACCAGATCATGCAGGGCCTCCTTTGTCTTTTACATCTTAGCTGGCATCCAGGAATGGGCCTGGAAGAAACCGGCCATGGGGCAAGTAAGTGCCCTTATGGGGGGCTGCACCAGCTAGGGTGAGCTACATGCTCACCCATGTTAGCGCAGGAGCCACTGGTCCTTGCTGGGTCCCTGGCAAACAACCCGGGGGCAGGGGCTCAGAGAGTGGGTGGGGTCTTTTCAGATTCTTTTGACCACAGGCCTCAATGCAATATGTATTTTCTATCATATGTGCACACATACCTATAATAGAAAGCAATGCTTTGCAGAGTCACATTTATTGCCACTGTGTGTGAGGTACTCTGATGTTTTCTCAGCACTATGATGTATTCTATTTTATTTTTAAAAATGCTAGTTGTAACCCAACAAATTGATTTAATGACCCTCAATTTGACAAACAGAGGCCTATGGGAATGGACGGATTTCTTAATAAGATAGAGGAGCAAGGTCTATATAGTCTTTTTGAGCTTCAGTGAAGGGAATAAATGTTGGGGTGATTACAGCCTGAAGGCTAAGAAGGTATTTTAAAAGGCCTTAGGCTGGATGCCTCAGCTCTGGGGTGGGATTTCCTCTCAGGCAGAAAGCCTTCCAGTCTGACATGCATTAGGTGAATGGAACGTGCAGGCCTGGGAGACTGGCTTGGCTTTGGAAGGTAAATATGAGAGGCTCAGAGAGGGGCAGAATTAGTTTAAAAATCATGTGTACCTTGTTATAAGGACAGGGATTATGAGAAAGAGAAAGAGGGAGAAAGACACTCAGGCCTGGGGAACAGAGCCAGCTCTAGCAGCGGAAGGAGAGCAGTGGGACCAATTTAGAGGCAGGCTGGAATTGTACAAGCCCACCTGGGCTGGAAGGGGCTTTACACACTCTCAGTACTTCAGTCCAGCCCATGTCCATGCTCCCTCCTTGTGCCTCCCTCCCTATAACGTCTCAGTTTTGCAGGTGGGGGCTTCAGGTGCCATTCTCTGGGAAATGGTGGGGTGGGGTGGGGTGGGGGGCTTCTCTCCAGGGAATGGGATCTTTTCCCAGTGAGAATCTGGCAGCCACTTTTGCCATATTTTACCCATTGATGGGAGTCTCTCCCAGTGGAGTTTCAGGTACCCAAGAAATGAACCCTGCAGAGCCATCACGGATTGAATGAAGGGAGCCTGGGAAAGGGGAAGCCATGAAGGTGTTCAAAGTTGTGGATACATCTTCAAGTTTCCCTTTTTCAAGACACATCAAAAGCCATGATCTGACCTAAGGACTTCTTTTGCCCGTGGTTTTTAAAACTCCAGGATTCAGACAGCAGTCAGAGGCACACTGCTGTTCCCTGGGAGGCACTCTGGACTGAGGCAGAGCTTCACTCTCTGACAGGAGCCTCCCACGCCACCTGCACACTAAACGCTTTGCAGGCTGACCAAGGCTCAAGACACATCAAAAGCCATGATCTGACCTAAGGACTTCTTTTGCCCGTGGTTTTTAAAACCCCAGGATTCAGAAAGCAGTCAGAAGCACACTGCTGCTCCCTGGGAGGCACTCTGGACTGAGGCAGAGCTTCACTCTCTGACAGGAGCCTCCCACGCCACCTGCACACTAAACGCTCTTTGCAGGCTGACCAAGGTGCGTGTGTCACACAGAGAAGCTGCTTACTTAAACTACATGTAGATATTATTATGATTCATAAAACACAAAGTATGCAAAAACACCACTGGATTCATGGCAGCTTGTTGCTATTGTCTTTTCCCCAATCAATGGCTACTGAAAGTATAGTTACTTTCATTTGCAGATCCTCAAAGTGTTTTCATGTCAAAAAGGGATCCTCTTCCTTAGAAATCGACAGCCACGAGTGTGTGGTGTTTGTGCTCAGATTGTAGGTGGTTACAAAGTCCCACTGGGTTCTAGGATTTGGCACTTATTATATTCTGGGCCTGGTTTTATGGGAGTGGGCCTCCTGTTTGAGGTTCTGATATGTCCTAAGAGCTCCCTAAAACTTAAGACATTGGGACCTAAGTGGGGAGGGGGTTAAGGGTTTCCCCTTGTGTGGAGTGCCCAGTTCTAGAAGGGACTTACTGGTGTGATCAAGAGGGCTGGTCTTGGTCTCGTGGGAGGCTCCCTAGCTACAGCTTCTGAAGAAGCTTCACCAGTTACCTTCTTTGGGCCCCAGTTTTCCCTACAGTTGAATAGGGATAATAATCCCCCTTAGAGGTTTCTCCCCCTTTTGCCTTAGGGAATCCCCTTGCTTTATTATTCAGGACTGCGCCCCCCATCTTTATTGGTGGATAAAGCTAGGCTAAGAATCCATACATTGTGATCTCTAGTTCATGCCATGAAGCCAGCAACCATTCAGCATCCCACATCCTTCAGGGTCTGCTTAGGGCCCTCCTTCTTCAGGAAGCCTTCCTGGATGTCTGTCCAGGAATTCAAACATCTATTTGATAATTAGCGGCATTCAGTTTTGTCCCTACTAATGAGTACCTGAATGTCTCATACATACGAGTCCTGTCCCCCTGCTGGCAATTTGAAGACAGGGACCACAGCTTAGACACTTCTGACCTTGCTTACCAGGCCTTCCTCATGGATAGGGAAGCTGTCTCAGTCACCTCTGCATCTCTGGTGCCCAGGACAGTGTTTGGCACACAGCAGGTGCTCAGGACTGTTGCTGTTGTTGAATTTTGCCATTTACTGCTGAGTCTGACACAGTAATGGGCACTGGGTAGCTGCCAAATTAAGACCTGGTATTTGCTTGAGTCAATAAATGCTAATTGAATAAATAAGCGGCTTCCCCGTAAAATGCAATCCTGCATCTCTAAGCCTATTGGTGCTAATGTCCTGAGATGTTGTGCAACTCCCTTTCCTAATCTGTGGCATGAGAAGGTTGGAGTAGATAATCTTCAAGGTCTCCTCCACTTCAAGGGGGACAAACCATATATGGTTATAGGCCAACTTTTTTCAATTTATTTCAATAAACATTTAATGAGCACCTTCTATGTGCAGGGAAAGGTTTTAAGACATGAATAAGACATGATGCCTGTCGTCAATAAGCCTGTGGCTTATGAGGGGAAGAGGGGGAATACACACAGCTTAGGGAAAANCACACAGCAGGTGCTCAGGACTGTTGCTGTTGTTGAATTTTGCCATTTACTGCTGAGTCTGGCACAGTAATGGGCACTGGGTAGCTGCCAAATTAAGACCTGGTATTTGCTTGAGTCAATAAATGCTAATTGAATAAATAAGCGGCTTCCCCATAAAATGCAATCCTGCATCTCTAAGCCTATTGGTGCTAATGTCCTGAGATGTTGTGCAACTCCCTTTCCTAATCTGTGGCATGAGAAGGTGGGAGTAGATAATCTTCAAGGTCTCCTCCACTTCAAGGGGGACAAACCATATATGGTTATAGGCCAACTTTTTTCAATTTATTTCAATAAACATTTAATGAGCACCTTCTATGTGCAGGGAAAGGTTTTAAGACATGAATAAGACATGATGCCTGTCGTCAATAAGCCTGTGGCTTATGAGGGGAAGAGGGGGAATACACACAGCTTAGGGAAAACCCAAACCTGTGTCAAGCAATGTGCCAGGGGCTGGGAAGTTAGGTAGAGATTTTCTTGCAGCAGGGGTGGGTGGGGAGGGCTCACTGAGTGGGAGGCCCAGGCCTGTACCTCCTCCCCATCCTTATCCCTCCTTGGCCCCCTTCTGTACGACAAACCTCAGGACATCAATCGCTTTTTTGAAGACTTCAGGACCACGTTTAGGGAAATTAGCTTTAGAATAGCAGAGACCTTGCTGAAAGGTTATCCATCAAAGACAGAATTTTTAAGCACCAGATGTCATTAAAATCTTATCGGCATGCTCAAAATGAAGGCAATGAAAAATTAAAGTGGATTTCCACTTGGCTTCAGCTGAGAGTCTAGGGTACCAGTGACCAGGGTAAAGCTTTGTTCTGTACTGAGGAGCAGGAGCTAGCAGGGAAGGGGAAACTAGCCTGAAAATGCTACCAAGGAAATAATGTCCCTGTCCCTTGGCTGCTCAGAAACTTTCTGGTTATGGAGAACACAGGCTGTGCAGCAACCTCATATGAATTATTTATCTGAGAACCTAAACTGCCAGAAATGACCGTATTTCTTTTTCTTTGCTGCCCAACACCTTGGGACTGGCTAGCCAGTTCCTGATTAAGCACCTCCTGTATTCATGATTTACATTTACTGAGCACTGACTATGTGCTGGGCAGTATTAGCACTT